GTTAGGCGTTCGTGAGGACTGATGCATTCCCGTAAATGGGTATTATGTCTCTCAATTAACGGTGTTAATAGTTTTATCAGTTTCCGATACGTATCCTCGTCCATCCTCAAGTAATTGTGCCAATCACCAGGCTCCAATCTTAGCTCCTCCAGTAAATTTGTTTGTGGCAGTGTACTGCGTTTAAGTAGTCAGTTTTTAGTCCATTTTCTTCGAGATTTTCTTTTTTCACGATTTTTTTCCACTGCCAAAACCGCTGCCACTGCTAACAAGCACGTACGGTCCATCGTGATAAACTCGCGCGAAAAAAACTGTTGTGTGTGGACCTATCAGTCAACGTTTTTCCTTCCAACGTTTTTAACCGTCGGTTAAAAACGGCGAAGAAGAACGAGGCGAGTGGGGCCCTTAAAAGAAGGAGGTACCTATTATTTTTTTTATTTTTTTTTTGTTTCCGTACGTTAAGTATTTTTTAAAAATGTTATTATTTGTTTTTATTCTTTGTTTACTTTCTAATTTGGGTAGAAAAATGTTTTTTATTTGCTACACTGCAAATTATAATTATTTCCTCCTGTATTAAAATCTACTGTTCAGATCTACGGTTTTTTTTTACCCATACTGTTCCAGGATCTGGCAACACTGCCTAGATCGAAAGAACGTTCCAACTACCAATTCTATAAAATATCGACTAATCACCTCCAAATACAAGCGATGTCTGAGGACTTGAGGACAGTAAGGACTGAGTGCGACACGCAGCAAACGCTTTGCCCGGAGACCGATCCAAAGTGTCGTCGAGATCTGTTTCTCGGAAGTGTCGCACGTGCGAAATTTGTTATAATTGCATGTGTTTCAGACGTGAAGAGACCGTCCTCGGTCGCGTCTGTCGCGCCGCGCCTACCGAAATGGTACCTTTACGATTGTGGTTTTAAACGCACAGGAAGTTGGACGGTTAACTAATATTTGAGTTTTGCGCTGTTAATTTTTTTTCACTTTATATATACAGGGTATCACATTAAGAATGGGACATGAACAACTGAAGATTCTCTGGTTATTTCAGAAATACAGGATGTTAATATATAAGTTGAAAATTAAAAAATTAATAGCGGGTAGGTACCTACCTATCATTATTCAATATAATTTTACTAAAATGGAAACGTATTTGGTGTCATAAGATACACCTGTAACAGCAGAAAAATCAGTTAGTTTTTAATAAACTTCGCCAGTGGCGTTAGGGTTGCCAAACGTCATGATTTTAACAGGTTTAAAGGGTAAAATATTTATTCAAAAATTGGGAATAGGTATTAGAAAAGTCTTTTTACTTTCCTATCTGTATACAGATATAAGGAAAGTATAGGAATCATGATTTTTTTCGGCCTCGAGTTTTCGACGGATTTTTACGTTTTGAGGTCCCCTGAATCCGTTTTGACTATTTTCGCGATGATGTGTGTGTGTGTGTGTGTGTGTGTGTGTGTGTGTGTGTGTGTGTGTGTGTGTGTGTGTGTGTGTGTGTGTGTGTGTGTGTGTGTGTGTGTGTGTGTGTGTGTGTGTGTGTGTGTGTGTGTGTGTGTGTGTGTGTGTGTGTGTGTGTGTGTGTGTGTGTGTGTGTGTGTGTGTGTGTGTGTGTGTGTGTGTGTGTGTGTGTGTGTGTGTGTGTGTGTGTGTGTGTGTGTGTGTGTGTGTGTGTGTGTGTGTGTGTGTGTGTGTGTGTGTGTGTGTGTGTGTGTGTGTGTGTGTGTGTGTGTGTGTGTGTGTGTGTGTGTGTGTGTGTGTGTGTGTGTGTGTGTGTGTGTGTGTGTGTGTGTGTGTGTGTGTGTGTGTGTGTGTGTGTGTGTGTGTGTGTGTGTGTGTGTGTGTGTGTGTGTGTGTGTGTGTGTGTGTGTGTGTGTGTGTGTGTGTGTGTGTGTGTGTGTGTGTGTGTGTGTGTGTGTGTGTGTGTGTGTGTGTGTGTGTGTGTGTGTGTGTGTGTGTGTGTGTGTGTGTGTGTGTGTGTGTGTGTGTGTGTGTGTGTGTGTGTGTGTGTGTGTGTGTGTGTGTGTGTGTGTGTGTGTGTGTGTGTGTGTGTGTGTGTGTGTGTGTGTGTGTGTGTGTGTGTGTGTGTGTGTGTGTGTGTGTGTGTGTGTGTGTGTGTGTGTGTGTGTGTGTGTGTGTGTGTGTGTGTGTGTGTGTGTGTGTGTGTGTGTGTGTGTGTGTGTGTGTGTGTGTGTGTGTGTGTGTGTGTGTGTGTGTGTGTGTGTGTGTGTGTGTGTGTGTGTGTGTGTGTGTGTGTGTGTGTGTGTGTGTGTGTGTGTGTGTGTGTGTGTGTGTGTGTGTGTGTGTGTGTGTGTGTGTGTGTGTGTGTGTGTGTGTGTGTGTGTGTGTGTGTGTGTGTGTGTGTGTGTGTGTGTGTGTGTGTGTGTGTGTGTGTGTGTGTGTGTGTGTGTGTGTGTGTGTGTGTGTGTGTGTGTGTGTGTGTGTGTGTGTGTGTGTGTGTGTGTGTGTGTGTGTGTGTGTGTGTGTGTGTGTGTGTGTGTGTGTGTGTGTGTGTGTGTGTGTGTGTGTGTGTGTGTGTGTGTGTGTGTGTGTGTGTGTGTGTGTGTGTGTGTGTGTGTGTGTGTGTGTGTGTGTGTGTGTCTGTATAACGCATAACTCATGAACCGATACACGGAAAAACACCAAATTTCAAACTTAAGCTTTGTTCCAGCGTCTAATGAGCTGATTAGATTTTGGGCAGAGTCGGAATATCTGGGGGGGTACTTTATAGGTGGTCATTTTTATATTTCATGGAATATATCTATTATTTACGTTTGGAGAAGAACATTCTTCAAATAAAAGTTACTTTTAATATAATTATCTATAATTTTTGTTCTATGCAAAATTTTCCTAAAATGGTCCGTATTCGATAAATTTGACAAAATATAAAAAAAATAATTTTTTATAAAAATTGTTTAAATAAAAGTTGTTTGTAATATAATTCTCTATAATTTTTATTCTATACATAATTTCTCTAAAATGGACCGTATTCGAGATATTTGAGAAAATGTGTAAATTTCGAATTTTGAAGAAAACTCAAAAACGGATAAAGAAAATAACATTAAATTTTAAACTTAAGGTTTATTTCGGCCTGACGTGAAATGATTAGATTTTAGACATAGTCGGAACATCTGGGGGGGTACTTTATGGGAGGCCACTTTTATATTTTATGGAATATATCTGTTATTAATGTTTGGAGAAAAAAATTGTTCAAATAAAAGTTACATCTAATATTATTATCTATAATTTTTGTTTTATGTAAAAATTTCCTGAAATAATCCGTATTCGAGAAATTTGACAAAATGTGCAAAATTATGAATTTTATGAAAGTTTTTGAAATAAAAGTTGTTTGCGATATCGACCTCTATAATTTTTGTTTATACATGATTTTTCTAAAATGGACCGTAATGAAAAAATTGTAGGAAATTTTAATTTTTCAGTATTTTCGTTTTCCATGAATATCTATAGAAGAATGTTTCGAGGTAGATGTATGGTATATATTTAGTTTATCCTCTAAACATTTATAGAGATGCTGCAATAGGTTGTACAAAATAACCGGAAAAAGCCTATAATAACTAGATAGGAAAGTCATGTGTTGGACACATCAGATTTTTTAGGTAGGAAAAAAATTAAAAGTATTTAGAATTAATTTTTTGACATACCTATACCTATTTATCATTTATTCATCATATTATTAAGATTTTATTGAGTTTCGACGTTGAGAATATTAAAGACACTTTTTAAATTTTATGAGAAGTTTTATGAATTATATATTTTATTTCCTTAAATATAAATTATTCCCGTTTTTTTAAGAGCTTTTTAATTTACTTGATTTTTAGATATTCCAACCTGGCAAACCCTAAGTATCGTATTTCATGAGAAACACTTTATTCCTTCTAAATATTAAGTATACCACAGTCCAAACACTAATTTTGTATAAAATTTTCAAATATTTTTGATGTTTTTTTAATAAAATAATGTAGGTATTCTTGTTGGAAACACATAATGTGAATGATTTTCAATATATTTTAACTAGTCATTTTGTTAAATTGTAATTAATATTTACTTTGAAAACATCAAAAAAAATTTAATTACTTACCCATGCCGTACGCCACTGGTAAAATTTAATTAACAGATTTTTTTGCTGTTTGGTTATCTCATGATATGACACCAAACGTTTCCAGATTTTAGTAAAATTATATTACGTAATAAAAAATTTTAAGCCATTAATAATTTTTCAGTTTTCAACTTTTAACACCAAGTTTTTTTGAAAATGAGTACAGATTGTCGAAACGATAATTTACAGTTTCCTTTGGAATAAAATCCTGCGTCTATTACTTGCAATGTAAACTGATAGATGGCGCAAAGCTCTTACAATGACCTTGCAACGGCAATATGTCTTCCAATAAAAACATTTATTATAAATTGTCCACAATTTTCGGGAAAATCATTAAACGTATTAAGGTATACTTAAAATCCCATACATAAATATTTAGTAGACGGTTGTTGTGTTTGTGTATACCCTATACACAGTGTGTTACATAAAGTTGGATCCATATAGGATTTTTTTTTATATTAGTATTGGAAAAAACATCTGAATTTTTTTAAACTTAAAATAGTCCATAGTAAATTAAGTAAATTAAGTTTTTAAATAAGCCTGACGTTTTTCCAATCGTCATATTAAAAAAAATTCCATATGGATCCAACTTTCTGGCACACGCTGTATAACGTTTCATGTTTAATTTCACGAAGTTTCTGAAGAACTGTTATTATTTTTAGTTTTTGTCGGTAGATACTTTTTTTAATAAAACATTTAATAGTTATTTCATGAGTTATTTTGTACGGAGTTTTAAAGAAATGTCCGTAATTTTAATTAGGAATGTCAGGAAATTGTATTTTCGAATATGACACCCATAATTACATAACACTCTATGCTCGAAGAAATAATTGCGCACGCCTATGATTTATACCAAAACAAACGAAAAAAATCAACTTACCGATATTGGACGCTCCGCTGCTCTTCTGATGATCGGGATTCGATTTCGGCGAAGAAACGTCGCTCTTGATGGAGGCATTGGCGTGCGTTTTTACAGTGACGTTCGCCGATATTTGCTGGGGTTGCGAACTGGCGGTGGATGTCGTGAACTCCAGCTGCTGGACGATTTCGACGGAAAACTTGGTCAGACCTTCGTTGGGGCACTGGAGTTTCACGGGCGGTTCGAAACTGTCGTTCTGGCCGCCTCCTTGGTCCAGTTCCTCGGCGGACCGTTTCAGGAATTTTTGCTGTAACATCAAAGGGCCGGTGTTAAGTTTTTGTAATTTTTTTTAAGAAATTTATTTTGGGCTAAAATGTAATTCCGTGCCAAGATTGATTTGGGTTTCTGTTGGGCAAGTGTTGGATTTAAAAAAAAGTGTTTGAAATATTGAAATAGTGTTAACGGTTAGGCAGAAACTAAAGCAATTATGTCGGTAAATGATCGACTTTGATTTTAGTATTGCGAAATTATCTCGAATATAGCCATGGAAAATCAATAAAAATATGGTTAATTGGCGACATTTAAGGTTTTTTCTCTGAATTAAATTACAACATTTCTTGTATGAGCATACCACAACAAAAATATTTTTCAGAATGTTTGAAATGTCGAATTTTTTATTATAATATGCCATTTTATAAATTGACGAAACATACAAGGCTTCTTGTTTTTAGGTGTAAGTTTGGATCTAATTTAGAGCGGTGCGTAGTTACCACGAACATGTCTTTGTCGGTCATAGCCTATTTTAGAAACATTTGTTTTGAATCACTCTATTTATAAACAAAATGTTGCACAGTGGGTAAAATCCATATAAACAAAAAACAGAACCAAAACAAAAACACCTAAAAAAAATATATTTTTTACACCCACATGTATGTATATTATCTATTTTATGCAGATATTACAAAACGAATAAGTAGACCATATCGTTCTACTGAATGAAAGGATATTATTCCGATTCATTCTAGTAAGGACATTGCGGATATGAAATACACAGTTCAAATTAGGTGACTACTTTAAAATTTTAAATAAGTGACAATTGGGTAAAATAAATTTTCAATTTGTTAGCGCAACAGACTTTTTTCTTTCGAATTGGTTTAATTTACATGTGATTCCAGATAGTGCCATAACTCAGTGCGAATTTTATCATGAACCCAGTGTGGGTTTATAACAAATCTAGTGCGGATTAAATACACACAGTGAGACTATAGGACCAGGTGGGTGTCCCAGATTTAGACATGCTAAAATCACTAAGGTAAATAATATACTGTGTTTTTGATAGGGTTGGAAAATATATAGAAACATTTCATATGAAGGTTAAGAATATTGTTCAGGTAATATTGGAGATATTGCTATGTTCAGTTACTTTTACATCCATCTATTTGTGAATTTTAATTATTTGCATTTTGTGGTTCTACTTTGAGTTTTCTTTTAAGACTTGAATCAAAAAGAAGACAACCCTCTTAATGAAACTGAATTGCTAAATGAAAATATACTTAAAATTTTGGGCAATGGACTCAATATGGAGGAGTACTGATGAAGTTATTCAAATAGAGGTAGTTGCCTCATGACTAGATGCATCAGGACTAGATGCATTTATAAATCATCACTTGTTTCCATATATCCTTAAATTGTCCTTTGATGGCATCGCCCAAAGTTCAGCCCAGAGACTAAGGCAGCAGATACCAATACAGCTCTTAAATGAGGTTAAAATCTTTACAGACCAAGGTAGGGTCTAGTCTTACTTAGTAAAACACTCATCTTAATTCTTGGTTGAGAGGAAGATGAAGGAAAGCTAACATTGTGGAACTACTAAGTGATGTTGCCCGTCTCCGATGCGATACTCATTGAAACCAGAAGAAATCTTCTCACATTAGAATTTAAAAGTGACCTCATGGAAGTAATAGGGGAGGCTAAGTTGAGACCGAAGCAATTCTGCTAAAGCTATGAAGCGTTCAGGTGAAGATTTAAAGCAGATGCCTAAGTTAATGGTACCACGTAAGACTCTAAACTTCAAAAGTTCCCCCGGACAATAGAAGTGCTCATGCCCAAGGGTACACCAAGAGAAACCTTGGAAAAAGCCCCAGAGACATTAACATCAACCCACACAGAGCCATTCACATAACAGAGCTCGCCTTCTTATATAAAAGCCAGTGTACTAGCAGGAAATCTAAGTAAACACAACAGATTCTGAAGAGATATCTCAGACGATCCGTTTGTAAGGTTTTAAATATTAAAGCTTTCTTTAAATTGTATTTCTCAGCCTGTACAAAATAAGATCTACTGATACTCAATTAAAGATTGACAGGTTCAGTAGGAATTATATCAGAAATAAATTATCTATATTGAGATTTAGACCATCCGCTCTTATAAGCCATGTAAGAAACAATTTATATCCAATATTTTCTTAGTAAAGAATTCAAATGGAAAATTTTGTTTAATTATAAATAATAAAAAAACAGAAGATAAGGGTACAGTACCAGAATGAATTACCAGAGTATATGCCTACTTTGGTCATAAAAGAATTTTACTTTATAATTAACATCAAGATCTCAGGCAACAGTATTTAAGATTCTTTATCAAATAGTGAAGCCTGTGATATCCAATCTTAGAGCTAATGGGTTTTATCTGTAGTATACACCATAATATTATATACTATTGGAAAAAATGTTGAATACTGTAAACAAAATATTATAGATACTTCATCTTATCATTTAGGTTTATAATTAACAGGAAGAAGAGTAACTGTCCATCCTGTAGCCTTAATTTCCTAGAGTTTAATTTTAATTCGACACTAACGACCATGCATCTCACTGAAGTAAAGAGGATGAAGATTTTAGATTTGCTCAATTCTTTCGATTTCTGTTCAATTAAAGATGTTTCTAGACTAAAGACTAATCAACTAATCAAGAAGGTATATTTTACATAAGTGCATGAGACATGTGTCATGGAAGAAATACCCTTATCCCTCAACCATTGATACATTTGATTGGTCAGATTATAACTTTAATGGTTTTCTGCCTTTTTTCTTTCAGTAATACAGAAAATTATAAATAATTTAAGTATCTGTCGACAGAACTTCACACCCTTTGGCAAGAAAACTTTCCATGGTGGCAAGATTTAATCCAACAGGCGTTTCCCCCCAAAGCGACCGGACTCCAATACTATTGAGGTTATGCTGTCATCTATTTCAACTTCTATCTAAAAAGAATATATAGTGGGGTTGAAACTTTGGTCACAGTTTAAAGAATCTTTGGTGGAAGTTTTGTATGTCAGAGAGAACATACCCCTTCACAAGTGATATGTTTAAGATCTTTTAAATTTTTGCAAGGACGGTTCCAGGAGGGTTTAACATGTACGGATCATATAATTACTATAGGTTAGCACTTACTTTGATTTTGTCACTGGACATTGCTTTGGACTTTAGGGCCAAAAGATTTGTTTAAAGGCGTTAGAGACCTACCCTACCAAGGTACGACTTAACTTGGAACCCATTAACAGTACTGAATACCTTCAGGGATTGGTGTTTCAATAAAGAAATCCCTATTATAGAATTATAAGAAAAAATATTGATATTATTAGCATTATTTATTGCGCATAGAATGCAAACATTTAGCCTTATTAAATTAGAGTACATTATTTGTAGAAACAAATTATGACAATCTTTAACTCTTTCTTTCAGACCTTAAGTCGTGGGTAAAGTGGATTGAACTTAAGATATAAGGTCTACAGAAGGCTGGTCAAGTTAATCTTCTTGTTTTGCCGTTATATAACCGACCTTATAAGGCAGGATCCCATCTCTTTTGTAGATACCATTTTAATTTAGTTTATTGTGGATTAAAAACTTGTGTTTGTTTTTGTTATACTTGTAAACATAAGTTACAATTTTTACTTAAAACTTGATTGAATACAACTAGATAATTGAAGAACTAATATGATTGTGTACATTTTACAAATAATATTCTAAAACTAAAAACAAAAACATGGAAGAATTGAATCTAAAAACATTCACAAAAGTTGTTCAAAATGTTAGTGCATTCTGTTTAATACAGTTGATTGAACGACAACAAGAGATAACGCAACTATTTCAGCATTTAGGTCTAATTCTAATATCCTATATCTGAAAAAAAAAATTACTTTTTGCCATTCGGTTGTATCTTTACTCTGTCATTACACTGGGTGAGTTCGAGATATGGAGCTATTTGCCCTTTTCACTCCATATCTACCTTCACATCACTAACTTACAATGGTTTAGCATGGACTGAAGTTAGTTATGGAGTGAAAAGAGTAAAAGGAGTCCACCTCCCGAACTGAACAACTGTATTGGCCTTCGAAAAGTATTAACGTGAGAAATTTTAAAATTCTAACAACTCATATTGCTACTTAGCACTTATAAACTAAAAAAAGCTTCTCATGTAAAATACCGATCCATACAGTTACGGGGTATTAGAATTAGACCATCACATCGATTTATTAAATAACAGCTTATAAAATATCTATTTAAAAAGTAAGCCTTCGAAAAATTCACGCATACCGTAACAAGCAAGGTTTCTTCTTTTTAAGTGTCAGTTTGGATTTGATTCCCCTGTCTTTGTCGTTCATGGCCATTCTTTTAAAACATTTTTTTGTGGATGACTATTAATAAGTACCTTTTTTCTAGTTATTTAAATGCGTGATGTTTGTTTTCATAAAGCTGGATTTATAAACTGCGTTCAGTTCGCGTTCAGTTCGAGTTCAACATAAACAAAGCAGAACGTGCGTAATAATTTCATTAACTTCGTTCGCACTCAGTTCGAGTTCAACATAAACAAATCAGAACGTGCGTAATAATTTATTTACTTCGTTCGCGCTCAGTTCGAGTTCAGTTGACGCTGAGAGACGAGCAACATTTATGTTCGCCGTTCGCCTACGGACTTCGATCCAATGAAAAAAAAATAAATCTGGTTATTTGACCACGCATGCGTCAACGCGATCCTAAAATGACATGGTAGGTTTGTTTTCGATACGAAATTGAAGACACAAGTGGATGAAGGGCCTATGTAGCAAAATAATTTTTACGAGATATTTCGTGTAAAAGTTTATTGTTTGGCAGTTATTCCCTAGTACATGGGTCCTTTATCCACTGGCAAACTTCTATATTTGATTATATATTGTCACGGAAGACATTTTAAATGCATTTTAGGTACATAAGCCCTTCATTTAGAGAAAAACACCATTTAAAAAATGTTACATAGGCTCTTAATCCACTTG